CCAGGTGATTGGGATGCTGGCTGCATAGACTGACACCTGTTAGACAAATCTAGGTCAGTGTGCGACGTGTCTGTGCTTTCAGAGTCCTTATCACATCATGTATCACCCGCTCCCTCCATAACTGTCAAGACTCACTGTTACATAAGTGCGTATATATAATGTCTTTACGACTGCTTTGGAGTGGGCAAATGTCTTGGTTGTGATGAAGATGACCTTAATTGGATGTCTCTCCTTCATCCTCATCATCATTATCAACATTTCCTTCCTGAGATACATTAGGAATGTTATAGTGTTTATAGTGATGTAAGCTCTGATCTACCTGGAGGCTCTGAGGACATGTGCATTAGACACAATGATGATGACATAGTGGAGTGAACTTGAAAACTATGTTCTGGAGCTCCTGTTTGTATTGTCAGTTTTTTAGTTGCCAGTCATACGATCTGACTTATTTCCCATAATCTTTCTTCTGGTTGCTTCACTGGTCCAATTTGATGGCTGGCTGCAGGTGTGGCGCGTCGCTTGCCTGATATCAGAAAGAGTTGTGAACTCGTTACACTCCGTTTTCATCTCCAGTCTGACATTGCCTCCTCTCTAACCAATTTCCGTGGAGGAGGGGGATTTGTTTTCCCCTAACCAATTACTGGAGACAGACGTATCTGCCTGAATGTGACATCATTCTAAGTCTACACTGATGCGTTGCCATGCCAACATACTGGTTGTGCTGGGGTTTAAAGAGTGGAGTGGAGCGAAGTCAAACAAACTAAGATGTTGGGTGATATTGAGATATATATAGTGTATGTAATCAGTAGACTCAGTGGAGTGTCTGGGCTTAAAAGCCAGCTCGACAATGGCATCAGTCCCTCCCGTGGCACTGTTGGCTTAGTGCTAATCCTCCCACAGCACTAATTGGATTTATTGTTTCAAAACCAAGAAACAGCTGTGTCATGTCATAATGCCAGAAGAATCACTCAACTTGGTAAAGTGGGTGGATTCAAAGCTCTGAACCCAGGCGAGGGCTCCACAGGAGGGTCAAATGGAGGCAGTAAACATGGCTTTAAAATAAAATATGAATAGAAGAATATAAATGGAACTAAGTGCATGAAGACTCTGGAGCGCCTGGTCCTGTCTCGCCTCCGCCCCGCAGTAGGCCCTTCAATGGACCCGCTGCAGTTTGCCTACCAGCCTGGCATTGGGGTGGACGATGCCATCATCTTCCTCCTACATAGAGCTCTTTTCCACCTGGAGAAGCCTGGAAGCTCTGTGAGAATCATGTTCTTTGATTTCTCCAGCTCTTTCAACACCATACAGCCTGCACTTCTGAGGGACAAACTGGAGCACATAGGGGTGGCTAATCACCTCATATCCTGGATCCTGGACTACCTCACGGACCGGCCGCAGTATGTCAGGACCCAGGATTGTGTATCAGACTTGGTTGTCTGCAGTACGGGGGCCCCGCAGGGGACGGTGCTGGCACCGTTCCTCTTCACCCTCTACACTGCAGACTTTTCATACCACACCCCCACCTGTCAACTGTAGAAGTTCTCTGACGACTCTGCCATTGTCAGCCTCATCACAGATGGGGACGACAGGGGGTACAGAGAACTGAACCAGGACTTTGTGGACTGGTGCCTGAGGAACCACCTTTAGATCAACGCGGGGAAAACCAAAGAGCTGATGGTGAATCTCCGCAGGCGCAGACTCCTCCCCCCAACACCGGTGAACATCCAGGGAAAGGACATTGAGATGGTGACATCTTATAAGTACCTGGGTGTTCATCTTAACAATAAACTGGACTGGACTAATCACATAACAGCACTGTACAGGAAAGGCCAAAGCAGACTCTACCTGCCGAGGCGGCTCAGGTCTTTTGGAGTGCAGGGGGCACTCCTGAAGACCTTCTTTGACGCTGTGGTTGCGTCAGCCATCTTTTACGGAGTGGTCTGCTGGGGCAGCAGCGTCTCGGCTGCAGATGGGAAGAAACTGGACAAGCTGATCAAGAAGGCCAGCTCTGTCCTGGGATGCTCTCTGGACTCTGTGCAGGTGGTGGGAGAAAGAAGGATGATAGCCAAGCTGTCATCTCTGAGGACTAATGACTTCCATCCTCAGCAGGAGGAGATAAAAGCTCTGGAGAGCTCCTTCAGCGATAGACTGATTCACCCAAAGTGTGTGAAGGAACGCTATCGCAGGTCCTTCCTGCCTGCTGCTGTCAGGCTACATAACCAGCACTGCTCACAGTAGACTGCACCATGGACACTTTATTGACACTTTATTGACACTATGGGCACTTTATGGACACCACAGCTGTCTGCTGTTTTGCACATATAATCACTTGAACTAGATGTGCTCCCTTTATCCACTGCTCATTTTCATTCACTGCTGCTCATTATTATCCACTTCCTATTATTTTCATTATTATTATTATTATTGTTATTGTTATTTATCGCCGTCTCTTGTATTTTTGTACTTATTTGCATGCCTAGTTATTTAAGTTTTTTAAGTTTAATTTTGAAATCTTTAATCTGACTCTTTCTCCTTGACTGCTGTAACAGTGGAATTTCTCAATTATGGGATCAATAAAGGTGTATCTTATCTTATCTTATCTTATCTTAAAAACCCTAGTCTCGCTCACCAGACCGGTGCGCTTGCAAAAATATTGCCGGGGGGGAAACAGGTTTTGGTGTAACACGCCCACAAAAATATCGCCTACAGGACGCGAACCATGGCAGAAAAATGGCTACATCCCCGCAAGATCAAACACCGCAAAAGTTAGTAAAGGACGTGTTGAAACCTGCTACACAACCGGAGGTGGTAGGGCGGGACTTCAGCGGGTGGCTAGTTCCGCCCAATGAGAGGCTGATCTATGCAGCGAACTTCCGCCCACTCAGACTAATAAAACCCAAATTGATGAGTGCATTTACGTGAACATGAATAACCCACTTATGAGGCTTAACCTGGTTAGGATTGTATTCAGGTTATGATGTTTACACAAGCACAGAGATTTGGGTTATTCATATTCGCTATGTACAGGACACCTACAAGTAACCCAGTTACCCAGAGATGAGAGCAACAGGAAGTATGAAACACTACATTATACATTTACCTCCACTTCACAGCTTAACTGGTCATTTCCTCTCTGCTCCGATCGCCAACAGCTGTCTCTCTCTCGACCTCACACACACACACACACACACACACACACTACATAGTTACTGACCTAACGTTATTCCTGAAAGTAGCTAAGCTACTCTTGTACCACTGTCCTCCATACTGGTGCCAGCCTGTCACTGTCATCACATGTAAGACAGGGGAGCAGTGGATGAAGTACCGCAGCCTCTTTAATTACCGGAACTCTGTTTCTTCATCGCTCTAGATGCGTGACACTGTCGTTGCCACGGCCACCATTTTTGTATTGTCACTTGGCCACACCTGTGAAGCTAGTTGGCATCATTAAATAACCAGAATAACATGTATGCATGTAATAGTATCCTGGTTTCTTTCGGAGAACTCCCGGGAGCACATTCAGGTTTCTCGTAAAACGAATAAAGTCTTATCAAGGTCTAAAAATGGGCTATGGTGTTTACAGCAATGGGATACTCCAACACCCAATCCTAAACGGGTTATTCATGTCCATGACAGGGTTGCCAACTTTGGTCAGAGGGCTGGAGTGAGATTTTATCTTGTGATGTAATATCTGTTTGTGCGTGTGTGGTCATGAACATACGTGGACACTGCAGCATGTTTGTTTTTTTACCTTAAAAGAGTTAATATGCACATGTGGCAAACAGAAGAAATGAGTGTATGTTTACATGTTCACGTCTATAGGCCTAAGCCCCACATACGTCCATTGTTTTAGGGCGCAGATCAAGGTCAGTTTCATCAATCTAATTGGTGGTATTGATCATCTGCTTAAAAAAATTCAGTAATATGTCCTGTTGTGACAAAAAGAAAGATTTCAGGGTGGGTTTGGGGGGTTCTCCCCTGCGAAAATTTTGAAAATTCACGCAGCGAAATCCTATTTTCATTCAATTCCATGCAGAAATAGGTAAATTCATGGACTTTCAATGACCTGCGCACATTTATGCATATTTATATATATTTTTTCTTGTGTATTAGGACGCCTATTAGAACTACTCTCTTCTTCTTGCCTCGTTTTTTTCCTAAAGAAATTCAGCAGACTCATCTAACAAAAAGTTTTTTTCATCACAAGTGTGTTTTAGTTATTCGGGCAGGGCACATGGTTTCATAACACAGTTAAATGTAAATTTGTCTGCAATTTGCTTACCTTGGTACAGTTCTGACCAGAAATGTATCGACGACAGGCGACTTCCACGCTGTGTACTTTGTAAGCCAGTAGGCAACCAGTGTAGGAGACTAGGGGAAGGACGAAGTTCTGGGTAGTTCAGGGTAGCCCCACGAGACCTAAACTTGCTTTCTGAGAATATTATGCGGTCTTGTCAAGCCACACAATGAGCTGGACAGAAAAAAATAAAAAATAAAAAAAGGACTCAGCAACGGTTGAGTGAGATTTCTTAAATGGGTGTGCAAGCGTGACACTGATGGTGAAAGAGTGACAGTCATGCCAGATGCGTGAGAGTTGGCAACCCTGCCATGTAAACGCGCTCAAAGTGCAGGATCAGAAGTGGGCATCAGAAGTATTTGTTTGTTCAATGTAGTGTGCTGTTAGACTTTATTTTTATAGTTTTATAGTTTCGTCATCAGCTGATATCATTCCCATACACTGCAAAACATTCTAACAGGAAATACAAGGAAACGTGGAAAAAAAACATGTTATTGTTTATTGGCTCTCTTAAACAGACTGACCCTATTAAAACAAGTCATGTCATCCACCTACTTTTACACTTTCTTATTTTGGTGAGGATGCTTGAGTTTTGAAAACCTGACTCCCAGTGTTCCAGATATTGCTTTGTGTTTTTTAAATTTAGACATTTGATATCCTGAATGCCCTCAATATTAAACAAACAGTTGGACTTCCCTTTCAGTGGACCAGGCTGACCCATACGCCCATGTAGCAGCCCTCCATTTTGACCAGATGCTGCAGCGGTTTGGCTCTCCCATCATCATCCTTAACCTGGTCAAGGTAAAACACACACACACACACACACACACACACACACACACACACAGGTCCTCATTTTAACTGTGATAAATGATATGTGCAGTGTAACTGAACACACATAACAAAACACATTGATTCAGTCTTATAAAGTACAAAGTGAATAACAGAAATCCTATTAAAAGAGGATTTGCAGATGATTGCATTGAAATTGTTGAATTATTTGACTGTGGCTGCGAAACAATTGTGATGCTTTGAGGCTGCATGTGTAAAACCTTTCCCGCCAGAGTGAATTGCAGTGATTCAGCAGGGGTCATGCAACACCTCGCTCAAGGACTCTACTAAAGAATACAGTTACTGCGGTAAAAATGTGAAGCCTTATGCCTGGAGCTATACTGGTGCAATCAGAGATGCTTTTCTACGCAACAGGTCACTAATATCTACATTTTTTAAGGATCATATGCCTCAGGAGAAATAAAAGCTGTGTTTTGTTTACTTAGACCCTACAGAAAAATCTACATATGAATAATTCTGTCCACAGGACATTCGTTTTACAAAATATCTCTGTCCACACTAGACCTCAAAAACAATCCCGACTGCTCAGCGTTAACTTTCTCAGCAGTCTTCCCTTATTGCAAAGTGTAGAGACTAACATTACCCTTTTCAAAACACCTACTGGAGATCCCCCCCCCCCCCCCCCCCCCCAGTCAACAACAATCCCATTCTGGAAAGTGTCCCACCCTCTGCTGGTTTTCAACCAGCCCTGATCCAAAACTGATGTTTCGTCATTGGGTGCAGCAAACGACTCCATTTTTACGTAAAGTGGTGCAGCAATGCTAATTCAAGTGTAACGTAGTCCTTAGACCAAGCTGTGCAAACATAATGTTAGCAAACCGATAGTCCACCGTTGTCAACGATTTGGGCCTTTGTGGATTGAGGGGTCTACATCATCATTTCCCAAATGTTTTGTTTTAGATGTTTAACACGATACAAAGTAACCAGAGTTTTGAAAAATCTGTACCTTTATAGCCTTTTTAGAAAAATCTGTTTCAAGCCCCGTTTCCACAGAGCAGTACAGTTTAGTTCAGTTCTATTTTTTACCATTTCCATTGTGAAAAGTTGTGGATGGTACCAATGGAGCCGTTCCGTACCGTCTCCATTTTTGGTCCCCCCTCTGTTGGGGTACCTAGCACACAGATCTGGTACTAAAAGGTGGAGCTGAGTAGCCTGGAAATCCAGACCCAAATCTAGAAAGATTTAGGGTCTGGCTATGAGTAATGCAAATGGCCCAGCTCGAGGGGCGGCACCAAGCATGCATTTGAATATATCACTGCACGCAATTGGATAACACTACGACCAATCAGAACAATACATGGGGTGACGTATCCAGAGCTTAGCTACCAGCGGAGCTAACTGGTAGATTAGACTCTTGCCGTATCCGGTCGGCAAAACAGCAAAAACGTCCTTCTTGCAAAGGAAAGATTCAAGCGCCGTCTTCTGTTCCTCTTTTAGAGAAAAAGCCAAGTCTAACTCGTTCATTGTAGCGGCCAAAGCCATTTCAAACAACTGGTGTTCATCCGTAGCCATCTTGCAATGTTTACTGATTCCAGGCTTTGTCGTCGCAGAGCTTTCATCATCTGTTTAGCTTGCCTCTGGCCCGCCTATATAAGATACACCGATGTGATTGGTGCAGCTCGGCTCCAACGGCATGGGTAATGAGCATCATTAGTGATTGCCAGAGTGACTCGCAAATTCAAATTGTGCTCTCGCGAGAACTCTGGATTTCCAGGGTAGGAGCTGTGAACACTGCAGTCCATTGATTGGTCAGTAGAGGACAGTCACTCTGCTCAGGGCTGGGTTGTGGCTGGTTTTGAGGCTCATGTAACCACTGTTCATACTGTGGAGAGTTTTATATATAGAAGTAAACCGTAACTATAAAATGAAAGGATGTTTTGTTGCCTCTTGTTCTATTTTGTTCTGAAAAGTTCATCATGCAGCCTCGTCCTGTGGACAACAACCCTGCCCACATTTAAGGGTACTGTTTGCGGTGGAAATGCTAGGGTCTAGGTACCATGTCTGAAGGGTAACTAGTAGTTCTAGAAGTACTATGCCAAAAGTGTTTGGTGGAAACATAGTTTATGTGACTCAGTTTGAATGTAGACAAGAGGCCAAAACATGGAGGGAAATATCTGTTTTAAAAATATCTGTATACATATTGACAGGGCCTTAGTTCTGATGTAATATCATATAAGGTCTCACATCTAATTTTTTTCCCCTATTCCTTGCCTCACTGAATTAGTGAGCCCATCTGTATTCTGTATTTTTAATGTCAATAATAATATATAACCAAAAGAAGTAATGACAACATGAGAAGAATCTTTTTAAAATATTAAAACATGAACTTTGTTATCACAATCTTCATTGAAGAAATGACAAATAAATCTAAAGTTATATCAGCCTAAAGAACCTTAATAAGATCCAGGTTGTAAAAGACTTGAATGTTCTTTAGTTGCAGCTTGTTAGTGAGAGGATTATGTAAGACATGTCTGTGGATTGTGTCTCGCGATGAAATATGCCCTGTCTGTGGAATCACTCCACAGGTAGTTATTTAGGGGGCCATGATTTTGGAATTGGCTTAGCAGCGGATTGTTATCGGGGGTTAGTTGTTGCTGTAGAGACTTTAATTATTACCAGCAGCTGAAATGGCACCCTAAATATTGATCCCCCTCTGTGCGTTACTCTGAAAACACACAAAGAGCACTGATAGACGGGGGAAGACAAGGCTGCACACACCTGCACAGGCACACGTGACCTCCTGCACCTGGCCCCTGCACATTATGTTAAATCGACATTAATCATCCGGCTGCTCTTGATTTATGAACAACTACGACACAATGAGACATAATGAGGCTTTGAAAAGTGTGACGTTAATAAAATGCTTCAAGCCATTTAAAAAAACAAACAAACACTAAAATAAACTAAAGGCTGCATGACTTTCTGTAAGCCTATTATTATTATTTATTTAATCCTGGTGTGCAACACTGTTAGACATTTTCTCATTTGAGCCAGTGCCAGTCTGGTAGTAATTCGTGCATTGCCTTTTTCGCATACACGCACATGGCCACACTCGGGCACACAGCCGTACACTACACTCTTGGGTTTCAAGCTCACGTTGTAGCTCACAAGGGGAGCTGGGAGACGAGGGACCAATTGCAGGCCTCGGAGGTCCGCACAAGCCGCGGCCATGTGATATGTGCCGACGGTGGGGAGCAAGGGAGGGGACACCCTGCTCCTACACCACGCCCTCTCCCTTATCCCAGAGAGACAGACTGAGGAAGGAATTGGCAATTAACCATGAAATCATGACAGTCCATCTCTCCATGGTGGTGGCTGGGGTCGGTGTGGCGGTGTCAACTCCAGGATTGGTGCGTGGTTTTGTCATGGGTGGATGATTGTTTCTGAGCGTGTGTGTAAAGACAGGAAGAAAGCACATGGCCCAGCATGTGAAGCACTTTTCTGACCAGCCAACTTAATTAGAGTCCATTTGTTTTGGCTGCGGAGATAGCTTTTACTCTCCCCACGGAGGTTTTAGAAATATTTAATTTATTCATATTAATTTAATCAAGCCTAATCAGTCTTTTTTTTTTTTTTTTTTTTGTAGAGAATCTTGTCCAAAAAAAAATGGCAGCAGCCACCCAACATAAAAGCAGCATACACAAAAGAAAGAGGGATAAAGATTAGACAAGATAAAAGCAAGCAATTAAACAAATCTTTTTATGGTGCAAAGCTAAACATTAGGATAATTACAGTGCACATTTCTGTCCATGACCATGTCTACCACCAGCCTCCTCCAGTACACACATGTGCGTGTGTGACTGTCATTCATGATCTATGACTGCACCTTCGCACACCTAGAACCATGATTATCACTGTGAACAGGACATGGGGGCTTTTGAAGGTATATGTGCACGTGTGGTATATTTCTAGCCTCTCATCTGTGTCTGGAAAGTGCGAGAGTGTGTGTGGTGTGTGTGTGTGTGTGTGTGTGTGTGTGTGTGTGTGTGTGTGTGTCAGATTGTATGACACGCTCTGCTGAATGGGCGAGGAAATGCATGGGTAATTTGACTGGTTGCTGTGTTGCTTTGCCACGGCTGAATGTGTGGATGGAGATGTGAGCTTCCAAGCCCATTATCACCCGGAGCGATCGGTCAGAAAGGCACAATGCGCCGAGGAATAACTTCATTGAGGAATAATAATTTAATGAACCATTTGATTACAGTTCATAGAGGCAGACCGGGAGTGTGTGCATGCAATTTTATTTACAAAATAAATTATTTGTTTATTTTTTCCTCTCTTCATCAATTAACTAAATCTGGACCTCAGAGAACACAAAACCAACAGCAGTCACGCTTTTCAGAACTGTCTTTCCATCATCTTGGACAGTGGATGTCCTGATGATTTCACACACTGAGGAAGACACTTGTCGAAACCGGTCTGTGTGTTTGATCGCCTGTATCAGTGAGGTAGTAAAAGTTTATAACGAAGGACACCGAGTGTTGCTGGCTTTTTCTTGTTTATACTGTTGTTCTGTGGCCGAGCACCTCCAGACTTTTTTCTTCTTCTTTTTTGAGAGTGCGTGTTGTCTTTCTTCATTGATGTCCTGATGTGAACCACACAGAATGATGGCCACCTTCGCTATACATCCATGTGTCCTCAAAATTGCACTAATTTGCTCTTTTACTGTCCTAGGATTTCAGATGCAACTGCTATTTTACCCCTTATAGAAGTATTCCACTGCTTGAGAGATGGTCTTTTCATAAAACTGGGCTGTCTATGCAGAAGAAGGCCACAAATACTTTTGAAATTGGTGCTACCTGACCAGAAAAAAGAGGGAAAGGGCTTTGGCATTTGCTTTTGCTCAAGAGGTAGAAAACCTACAACTACCAAAATGCGCTGCGCTGTACCGGACCAATACTTACTCCACTACATTTCCTACATAAAATGTATACTTCTACAATAAATATATATAAATATAATATAAAATATAATACATTTCTCTGTTTTGGGCTTCAAGTATTTTACTCCAGTTTCTCTACAGTATCTATGTATTTTTATGTCTTGAGTATTTTTCCTACGCAATAAAATCAGACGATTTGGCAAATTAGTGGTCCTAGCTTCCAAGTTAGGTCATAGTTTAATCACATAAGTGCAAGTGCAAACAGGTGTTCTCAAAGCCACAGTTGTCACATTAGATGTTACATGATGCCAGCAACTACTTTCAACCCAACAATGAGACTGACTTCATGATATAAGCAGAAAATGGTGTCCCACAGCAGAGAGGGCGAGTAATGCTTCAAGGAGATAATGATTTGTGACAGGTAACTGCACGGTGAGTGCTCCACTGCAGTGTGTCGGAGGTTTTCTTAGAAGGAAGACCTCAATTTTTTAAGGTGGTGAGCACCACTGTCAGTACTTAATTGCGTTTAATATAATAAAATTGCATTTGATACTTAAGTACAGGAAGATTTGGGTGCTGGTAAGATGGAGGGAGTTTACCACAGTCCATTAACGCATACTGCCCACACTGTTATGATACAAAGCTGGTTAAAAATCTGCAAAGTACAATTTAAATCCCTCTCTTTGCAGCATTAGATTTGACTTGCATGAGTAACCCACACAGCTGCACTTCTTATATATTCCCCATCTACCCACAGTATCTGCCCTCAGCTCTGTGCTTTTCACTCCATATGTCCATCTCTGCAGGGGTCCTGTAAATTGTTTCTCACAGATCTATCTTCCTCCAAGGTCTCTGGGGAGAAAACCTGAATGGATCTTTGTCAGTGCATCAAAGAGAGTAAACACGTGTCACATGTCTGACTGTGTCTGCTGTTATTCTATTATCACTGTACAGTAGACTTGCTTAGCCCTTTGGTGATAGAACCAGCCATTCATGTAATACACGTATTTCTCTCCATTGTGCTACAGAAACGAGAAAAGAGGAAACACGAGAAGATCCTGAGTGAGGAGCTCTACCCAGCTGTGATCAACCTCAATCAGTTCCTGCCTCCAGAAAACTGGATCGACTACATTGCCTGGGACATGGCCCGCTACACCAAGAGGTTGTTGCAATGAATGAGACAATATTTTGAGCTTTCATTTGCTGAAACTCAAGCTTTGTCAGTGTTGTACTTTTTCCATCCAATTATCAAGCTAGCTTGGAAAGAAGAAAAATCACACGCTCTGCCATTAGTCGATAACACTTTACCAGCAGGACTGATATGTAGAGGAAATTAGACTTTTTTTGTATGAATTAGGCATGAAGTAACCTTTAAAGTACAACAGCTGAAAAGGTATTTTAGTTTTCTTAGATATATGTTTAGAGGTATCCATTCCACCCACTTTCATCCGCTTATCCGGGGCTGGGTCATGGGGGCAACAGGCTGGGCAAAGTCTGATGAAGGCCAGTGAGCATGGCTGAAACATGTTGGTGATTTTAATGTTCATCATGAACTAGCCATTTAATAAAGGCCTTTTAACTTTTGCACCAGAGAAGAGTTGCCTTGAATTTTGTTTTTTTCAAGAAGCTGGGCAAAGTATTCCAGACGTCCCTCTCCCCAGCAATGCTTTCCAGCTCCTCCTGAGGGATCCCAGGGTGTTCTCAGGCCAGATGAGATATGTAATCCCTCCAGCGTGTTCTGGGTCTGTCCCGGGGTCTCCTACCAGTGGGACGTGACTGGAACACCTCCAGTGGGAGGCACCCAGGATGCATCCTGATAAGAAGGATGTGAAGGAGCAGCAGCTCTACTCCAAGCTCCCTCCGGATGTCCGAGCTCCTTACCCTATATCTAAGGCTGAGCCCAACCACCCCACGGAGGACACTTGTTTCGGCCTCTTGTATCCGTGATCTCGTTCTTTCAGTCACTACCCAGAGCTCATGATCACAGGTGAGGGTTGGGACGTAGATGGACCAGTAAATCGAAAGCTTTGCCGTTCAGCTCAGCTCCCTCTTCACCATGACAGTCCAGCACAGCGCCCGCATCACTGCTGCCAAACTGCCGATCCATCTCAAGCTCCAGTCTACTCTCACTCGTGAACAAGACCAGCAGATACTTGAATTCCCTCGCTTGGGGCAGTAACTCACTCCCAACCCGGAGTGGGCAATCCACTGTTTTCCAGCAGAGAACCATGGCCTCAGACTTGGACCAATAGAACCGGAGACAAGGGACAACCCTGGCGGAGGCCAACACTGTCTGAGAACTTGTTTGACTTTGTGTCAAGTATGCGGACACGGTTCTCACTTTGGTTTTACAAGGACTGGATGGCTCGTAGCAGTGACCCTGGTACCCCATATCCCCACAGTGTTGCAAATATTGCAAATTGACACTGCTCCTGATATGAAAAGTTTTGATGCCAATTATTCTCAGATGAGTATTTCTCATTTTTGTGTTGTTTGTTGTTATGCCCTGGGTGAGTAAAAGCCTCTGGTGTGGAAAATGAAGGGCTGCACAAAGTGGCCAACTCGCATGCTATGCACTACTTCTGAATGTAAATAATAACCACTTAAATTTTCCAATTTGGTGTCCTCATCCTGTCTGATATTTTCTGCCATGTGCCATTAAGATCAAAGAGCAGAGTTATGTTATTAAGGGAATCCAGTACACACAAAATGTACTTTTTCACCATTTTTCTTAACAGCAAAATTGTTGTTGCCACAACACTTCTGGGCAGCCACCCAGACGAGCGCATCTGCTCTCTGCATTGGAAGAAATGTCGCACCTGTTCTTTTTCTGTGAAAGCCGTGTTAGAGTTTGGCCTTGCTGGGCTTGTGTTAATACCCTGAAAAACGTACAATAATTTCATGTATTACCGAAGCCAAAGGATTTGTAAATGATCACTGTAATTTAGCCAAACATAAAATATTGATATAATCTTTCCATTTCTCTTTCTCTTAGTAAGTTGTGCAACGTTCTGGACCGTCTGAGTATGATCGCAGAGAACGTGGTTAAGCGAACAGGATTCTTCATTAACCGCTCCGACTTCTACTGTCACACCATCAGACCAGATGACAGGTGAGCCTCTTCTTGTTCTACACTGTGCCTGTTGTTTGTTGCTGACACTCACACTCTTAGACCTGATTTCAAGCATTGTTCAATTTGTTGTTGTGTTAACAATGAAGCCAACCTTAAAGGTATTCTATGGAGGATATGTCAAAACAAACTTAGCGGAGTTCTATAAAAATTAACCCTCCTCAGTCATTACTTATGACCTACAAGAAGTGTGTGGTGGTGTATTTATCTGCAGAGACCCTGCTCTCTGCATGTATTTTCTTATTTTGCCGTGGTCAAGATGTTCCAGGGCACAGGATGCAGGTGAGGTTGGGACTTTATATGGGGCCATACACATGCTGCGTCTTTAATTGCCTGGAAAACATGAGGTCCGGCACTGGGCACTACTTTTGTGCCTTTTTTGTGCCAGCTTTCAAGAGCGCGGCGGCAGGTTGTGTCTGAGGTTGCGAAGTAACCTTAACAAGAAGCATATCATGGCCTATTTACCTGAAAACAAGCGAGCAGAGCTGATCTTACTCCAGGTGCAGTTTGTAAGTGTGTGAGCATATCGTCTGTGGGGCAGATGTAGATGATGAACTTGTCTATTTCGGAGCCCTGAAAAATAGACACTCTGGAACGCGTGAGCGTGGCGATAGCATTGCTCAGGCATTTGAACACGTCTGCCACCATCTACATTGAAAACAATGAATTTGAGGGCGCAAAAAACGCAGCTTGTGTACAGCCCCTAAAAAGGTAGCGACAAGGTGCCAGACCTTAAGCAGCACGCATCCAAGAGGAAGCTACAAAAATATAGCGAAGCAAAACGCCAAGTAGAGTCAGTCTGGGGTTGGCTTTTACCTTCACGTCCACTGGTGATACCACAAACGGTACCCAACAATTCTTGCAGTGTACCTTTAACTAAAATAAAACTCCTTCAGAAACTGCTCATGACGAACATCTTTGGTTCGTTTTTCAAGCAAGAAAACTGTTTTAATAATTAGAAGTTACACATACCCTGGAAATCCAGAGTTCTCGCAAGAGCACAATTTGAATTTGCTCAGCGAGTCACTCTGGCAATCACTAATGATGCTCATTACCCATGCCGTTGGAGCCGAGCTGCACCAATCACATCGGTGTATCTGATATAGGCGGGCCAGAGGCAAGCTAAACAGATGACGACAGCGCTGCGACGACGAAGTCCGGAATCAGTCAGTAAACATTGCAAGATCGCTACGGATGAACACCAGTTGTTTGAAACAGCTTTGGCCGCTACAATGAACGAGTTAGACTTGGCTTTTTCTCTAAAAGAGGAACAGAAGACAGCGCTCGAATCTTTCCTTTGCAAGAAGGACGTTTTTGCTGTTTTGCCGACCGGATACGGCAAGAGTCTAATCTACCAGTTAGCTCCGCTGGTAGCTAAGCTCTGGATACGTCACCCCGGGTATTGTTCTGATTGGCCGTACTGTTATCCAATTGCGTGCAGTGATATTTTCAAATGCATGCTTGGTGCCGCCCCTCGAATTGGGCCATTTTCATTACTCATAGCCAGACCCTAAATCTTTCTAGATTTGGGTCTGGATTTCCAGGCTAGGTCACACAGGGTCACAGTGAGAGAAGGCAGCAGATTATGCACCAGTGATAGGAGACAAAGTGTAAGAAAAAGAAACCATGTGCCCGACCACACCACCATCTTTCCCACATTTGCATACCAGACGTTTCCAAGGGATAGATGTATTATCCATTTTTCTATTCATACATATTCAGAATCATACATTTATCGACACTGCTTGATCTCGAAACTCTCCAGATATGAATTCTTAATGGAAATTATGCCTGATGACAGTTGCGTCGCAGAGAGTTTTCTGCTAACGAGCTGAGTAGAATGCCGTCCATGTTCTTAATGCATGGCTCTCCCTTTGCCTGCATGTCTTAATCACTTTCACCCAACATTACCATTATGTTACATAACCCAACGACCACGCCATGGCCGGTATTTATTACCCTTTCTTTTGCATTACCCAATGCTATCTCACATTCTTTTTTACACACACTCAGGCACATGTGCTCTCAGATACACACACGCACAGCAAAACCCTCATAAGCTTTTATGTAGATGGACTTTAATAATGATGGCACCTGTAGCCTTCATCACATGCATAATGCACAAGCTAATTAGAGATATTGTTAACTTTGTTATTATATTATTCTTGTCCATCCTCTCCATCTGTATTTTTAGGCACACACTTTGACTGACACTTGCACACTTGATAATTTTTTTTTAACTTTTTTATAGTCGCTCATTGGTCTCAATGAGGTCATACAGTTCATGCCACAATGAGATGCACTTAGCTTTAAAACCTACCCTTCAGCAGCTATTGTATTTGTCTTCAGAGCTCCCTCTACACAATTTAGAGGCAGTTTTTCCTCACTGATTTTCCCACTGGCTGTTTTTTTCCAGAGCACTTTATAAAGAACGTGATTAATGAGAGTGTGTTTAACTAGGAGGAAAAAAAACTAATAAAGGCAATACCCAGAGCCAGAAGTGTACCACGTTCTTGGACTTTGACATCTAAATTTCCTCCTGCTTTATTTTAAAGAATGTGATTAAAGGATTAGTTAAACATTTGGGGAAATTTGTAGAAGAGTTAGATGAAAAGATTTATACCCATCTTCTGTCTTTATGCATTAAAGTGCTTTTTGGGTGATCAAATTAAAATCAGAAAGTGCGTGAACACATGGAGGTACATGTGGCAATGCACCCTAATTGATGGAGGACAGATTGTGATCTGATCGGCCAAACCACCTCCTGCCAGCTTTAGCTTTGTGTTCACTATACAGACATGAGAGCGGCATCAGGCTTCTCTTCTAACTCTCAGCAAGAAAGTGAATATAATAATATTCCTTAAAACAATTAAAGCTGTGTAGTTATTATATCATTTATACCTTAGATCATGTTGGTGAATGCGAGCAATTGTAATTTTGACATCCTCGCATTGGGTTTGCATGTAAGCACCAAAGTCAGTGCAGTATTGTAAATGAGAACATCCTGCTTTTCTTTTGTGTATTACAAAATGTTTCCTGAATATTTCTCTCTGTACTCGTAGTCCTAATGAGGCTCAGTGTGTTCAGATGTCTGCATTGTATGTTTCTATCTAGTTCAGTATGTTCAGCCTTGAAATGGTGATCATAACAGTGATAACACCTCTGGTAGAGGGAAGAGATGAGTACATGTTCCAGCAGAAGAGCTGACATGGGCACTTTGATGATTTTGTCTGTTTGAAGTTAATTTGAATTTTTTTTTTTTTTTTTTTTTCAGGTGGGGAGATTTAGGTGGACACATCACAGCCAGCGGACGGGTGCAGGTATGTGACATGACGAACAGGTTTGCTGTAACTTTTGTGTCACAGCTGACCCTTTGATAAGCCCCACCCTGAACACAGATAACTCACTTCCTGCATGTTGCCATTTTCAGAATCCCCCGCTGCTACATGAAACTACAGTAGTCATGCATAGCCAGACCTATTTCCACACTTTGTTTTAGCGCTGTACACTAGCTTGCAACCTACATGCTAAAATTTCAGTGTTTTATGGGGTGTTTTCTTTTGTGGGGATTTAGCCATTTTATTGCCAGCACTCGCCTTTTCACCAAAACAAGTTCCCCCCGACACCATTTTGCAAACAATGTTGCTGCATCCTGGGCTCAGCGCCACCCAAGACAACTGTGATTGGTTTCAAGGGATTCAAACAACCCAGAACATTTTTTTTTCTCTTAGGGTACTTGCAGACCTAGGGTTCGCTTTGGTCTGAATCAGAACCCTTTTTAGACAGGTAACAAAACGTGTAGCTCAGCGTGTGACGTAAACAGTGACGTGGGAAGCTGCGGCTCGTCAGTCCTACGACAATTCTCTCGTAAGTCAGCCCGTTCTTCACCGTCCTCGTCATCTGACGGTTAATGGCCTCTTTGTTTGCGAGGGCAAGGAGGGCATGCAATTCCTTGTCTCCCCAGTTGCTCATCTTTACAGTGTCTGTCAGGTTTGTGTTTCCCTCTTGCTAGTAGCTGCTTGCTAATTCCTGCTATCAGCTGTTTCATGTTTATCTACCGCCAGTGGGTCGCACATGTGATGTCATCAACAGCTCCTCCCACAAGTCTTCAACAGCCCTTCCCGTTGCGGAAAGCCGCCTCGGTCTTTTTAAACTTAAAGGGTTCCGCCAATATGACTACCCCACGAGGTGGAAAATTGGGCACCTCGGATCAACTCTGTGTCTAAACGCTTGCAGCTTGCTGGCAAAACGGCCCAACATTCGTGGAAAATCTGGGCGAGGGGCGAGGGGCGAGGGACTAATTTTGTTGCAAAGTTGCATAATTGCCTCGGTGGTTTATGTTCTCACAGTAGCATTTACAAGCGGACCAGCGAGAAAGGACCTTGTTGAAGAAGAGTACACTTGCAAGATAAATGTGACACTTTCTAATGTCACAATGGAGGGACAACTACGCAGGTTGATTTTAGCGCTGCTCATCGTGGACTATATTGCTGTCATTGTTCATTTTAGTCAAACCATACAGTTTGAAAATGAGGCGTGGCTTCAACTAGAAAACAATGTTTTTGTTCACATTAATAATCCTCCAGGACTCTAACATGCTCATGTTTAACCCAAACAATGTGTCATGTGACTGCAGTTGGTTCAGATCCAGGTCAGAACACGTTAGCTCTGACAGCCTGACGGACTCTCAGCAGCCAACAACAAAGCAGACAGGACTTAGCAAAGGGTCAATTACGTTCTTTTGTTTTTTAAGGCACTGCATGTTCTCGACAAATTAGTAAATCTCTGGCTCTTCTACAGAAACACATAAGTGTAAAGTAATGGAGACTTTTTATAAGTTGAGTTACATAAGTTAATAAACCCACATCATGGATTTAGGGCAGTGTGATTTGTAGGCCAAGGAAACAGCTTATATCATTATGTTTATTTAAAAGAGGCTCAGCATTCATTGCTATAGCTGCAAAACGAGGCCAATGCATTTAGTTGCATAATGAGCGTTTTCACAGAAAACCTTGATCACGTATACAGTGATCTCTGAATCATCCAAGGTGTTTACTGCAGTTTAAAGGTCACTGCAGACAAAAGGGACAAACATGGAGACACTCTATCTGCTGATACTGTTATTTCCACAAATGATCTTTTCATTAAGTTTGTGTCAGACTCAATGACTGTATACAAACACGTCTCCTCTTCCTCCCAGTGTACAAAAATAAAGCCAATGTATCCCAAATATGGCTGCTGCCATCTTGCGCTCTTGACGGTATTTGTTTGAAGCCAAACGCTGGGGTATCAAGTTCCCACCTCCGACCAATCCTGGGCAGCGCCATCGATCGTGAGCACACTGATAAGCACACACAGCTGTCAATCATGATGTCAAACCCCCTTTAAATTGCATTGAACAGCTAGTTATAGAAAAATGAACTCTTGAACATATAGTGCGATATCACCATCTTCAATTTACAGTCCGTGGTCTGTTCAGGGGTTCTCAAAGTTTTGATGACTTTGGGCCAATTTAGGGAGCCTGCATATGACTCAGGGCCACACAGGAAAAGTGCACATGTCTTTTCCATCTCACCTCCACAATAAACTGCAGAGCTGTCCACTACAATTGCCGACCTTAGCTAACAGCATTAGCATTGATCACAGAACGTGAACACCACTGATAACACTCTTGAGGTGCCACCAGTTGCCATGCAGCCAGTAGTAGTACAAACACTTGCTCGGGCGTCATAGCAGCCGAGTTGTGTGTCTAATGTAAGCTGTTGGAAGTTACAGTATTGAGATGAACAGTAGCTAATTAAAATATAATCAGTGCATTTCGTGTCACATTCAGGAGCTGTGCAAAATGTCTGCACTGGGCTGCCTTTGGCCCGTGGGTCACACTTATGCTGTCCATAAATGAAGAGGTGTCATTAAACTTCACAAGTCTTTGTTGTAGACTGGTGTGCTGCGGACCAACTGTGTTGACTGTCTGGACCGGACCAACACCGCCCAGTTCATGGTGGGGAAGTGTGCGCTGGCCTATCAGCTTTATGCACTGGGAATGATCGACAAACCCAAACTCCAGTTTGATACCGACTGTGTGAGGTAAAGCTCCTTACTTAAACATATATTTTACATATTTTTGTAAAACAAATTTTGTATACTTGATTTAAACAATATGGTGCTCACTAGAACAGTAAATTTAATGGGGAGGCCCTAAAAAACTTCACCTCAAGGCAGTGCATTATGTCCTGGTTCACAAATACCCCTTTTCCACCAAATTAGCTTTGGTTCTTGAACTGTTTAGGATTCTTGGAACCTTGGCGCTATCTAGCTAACCAGCCCGCGTTTCCACCACTTTTACGTTGAACCTTCGTACTCAAGAATGTGTGAGTGAGTTGCACAATGGACAACACAAGTAAACACTAGCAAATAAATAGCAAAAACTTTTGTTCAATTGTGTCTGACAATTTCTCGCTTGTCTTCTCCATTCTCTTTTCCAACCTGTATAATATGACACACCCACTGATGTTGTCATGGTTCGCACTTCAGGTCTAGGAGAACCTACTTTTGTTTGGTTCCAGCTGAGAACCAACTTTGCAGCTTCTAAACCAATTTATTTTTGGTTCAAAGGCTCTAACCGGTTCAAAATTAGATGCAGGAACCAGAACAGAACTGGTTTAATGTTGGTGGAAAAGGGGTAAAAGCGTGTTTTGTGACTGATAGCACGTTCTTGTCAGCTTCCACTGGGTCATATCGTCACTTTTTGGGTAAGTTAGCAAAACCGTAACCTTAAAGTTAACCCCAAGATTAAACCTACAGGAGACCTCACACCTTACTGGAAGTTTAAACAGAGATGGTTTTTCATTTTTTGTGATCATAAATTTAAAAAGATACACTTAGATTTTTGCTGATTGTGGTTCCTAAATTGACTGTCATGACGTTATACTGAAAAATATGTACAACTAAATAATGCTAAAATATACATTTAGATGAAATAAATAATGTCCAACAACAAAAATCTACTCAGATGAAGAGTCTGTATTTTGATATCAGTGTAGTACCTTGCATCAGTCGATGTCCAAACAGGCTAACAAGGCAGACTATCAATGTCCATGATCTAGAGTCATGTGATGCGTGCCTCTCTGTTCTGCAGGAGCAGGAAGCAATACATATAGTAATCACACACAATCCAAATAGTGTGTGAGACACCCCAACTCACCGGAAAAAAAAACAACAACAACCAAGCTTCACATCAGGACCATAATTTGGTTTGTCTATTGATTGTGTGTCAATGTGCGTCTTTGTGTGTTGTGTCTGTGTGGTCCAGGTTATTCGAGGAGCTGTATGAGGACCATGGAGACACTCTGTCGCTGCAGTACGGCGGCTCCCAGCTGGTCCACAGGGTCAAGACCTACCGCAAGATTGCCCCCTGGACCCAACACTCCAAAGACATCATGCAGACACTGTCGCGCTACTACAGCAACGCTTTCTCAGGTGTGTTACAGAGACGCGTTCAGATGCACACAAAAATATTTAAAAAGGGGTTCATTACACCAGCATTTTTCAAGCAGCTTTGACGCAGTAGCCCCCAAATTCCACTTTATGATAAAGCAGTTTTTCCAATTTTCTCCATCCATTTTATCCTGAAATCCATCCATATTACACCACAATGTGTGAAACTTGAACCCTCATGTTCAAGGTTAGCACAGTATAATAGTAGTTTGAGAGTCCGCCCCCCCCAGTGTCTGCTTAGAAAAATTCTGGCCATTGGACAAATCTAGTAGACTCCTCTCATACGCCATTCTAGTAGACAGTCTTGAATAAAATAAGCTTTTAGACAAAAACATTTAGACAAACTGGAAACTTTTCAGACAGTGTTACATTGATCTGCAGTCATTACATAATCCTGACGCTAATTATTTCCAGATAACAAAGTGTATTGCATGAGCAAGATTACGACTGTTGTAAAGCTAAAACAGTCACAGCTGCAAAGACAAGCTAAATGACCCAGACTGTTAGCTTTGCCTTTTACAGCACATGCCACGTGTAACCACCTGCAGAGGTAATGTCAGCTCTGATAGTTTTTGGAAGCCTGATCAGGGCTGTATAGCCACTTTGATTGGTTGCTTCTTCTCTAAAAATAGAGCATATTAACATGGAGCGCTTTACACATCCTGAACACCACATCATAAGTCATATTGTTATACTACATACGACTGCACAGACTGTTTATTTTTCCAGCCTGTTATGCAACACCTCGTTTTAAAATGTTTAAAATGACAAAATGTGGACGTTTTTACCTTTCAGCAACAACAGCCAAGCACACACAGGCGGACACATAGCTCCCTGAGGACTGTGGGTGTCAGTAAATGGCGCGTTCAAAGCAATTTTGATGACATTTGCAATGTTTCTGTGGCAATTCCTGAATTTATTGTCAACAGCTGTGAGAGAGGATATTCTGAGGACATTTGATTTTCGATATTACTATCTAGAGAAACACTGGATTTAAGTTTTTCTCTGTTTTGTGATTTGCAGCCAGGGTCTAATCACCAATCAGTGCTTGATAAAGTGGCTTTACTGCGCCTGCGACTCAGATTTCTAATAATTTCAAATGACACCCTAGTTTGTAGGTAGACACAGTGCACACAAGTGTTATCACAGCACACTAGTAACTGCTCTACATCAACAGGTGGCATGTGAAGCTCCTGAAATGAAGGGGAAGGTTGTCTACTGTGTATTAAATCAGGAGTAATAGAGCTGTGCTACTTGACCCACTAAGTCGACCTCCTGTCTGTGTCTTTGCTTTCGACTCTTGTCAGTCCACTTCATTTTGAAAAATGGGATCACTGGTCGGTTGCAGGGCAGAGCCGGGAAAGTAACAGATTGTTTTTTCTGATGGAAATGTCAAGTGAGACTCATATAATAGAGCACACACACACAATTTTTCTTGCAAAGTTGACTTCATGGTCTTTGAGAATTTTCTTCTTTTTTCTCATAAATTTACCACTCTAATATCAAAATATCAACTTTTTTTTCTTGTAAATTAATAACGATATTATAGGAAATTCTGAAAAAATGAAGCCCACATGAAAGCGCCAAAAGCTGCAGTTCCTCAGATGGCCACTTGAGGCTGGCTCAAGAAGCTAGTCAATCCCCACAGACCCCCATGTTAAAATGCTTTACTTAACAGCACAAATAAACATGTTTACAGCCTGATGCAAAAAACAGTTTTGGTCTCTATAGCTAATTTCAACTCTAATGGCAACTGTATGGGGGCTGAATTCTTACATAACTCAACTGTTTACATTTTGTTAGTGCCTAAAGTTATGCATAATTAAGGGCAGGTTGCTTTGAGTAGAAGGCTGTCTGTTGATAGTGTCCTCAGCTTCCAAGTCAGATCCACTGCTCACTCCTCCACAGTGCCAGCCTCTTGCCTAAGTATGCTCACTTCTACCTCCAAAAAACCAAGATGGCGACAGCCGAAATGCCTAACTCAAGGCTTCGAAACGGGAGTCTACAAACCAGTGGGTGACGTCACCATAGCCACGTACATTATTTTTTACAATCTATGATTTAGAAGCAACTCATAGCACATTGTAGTACACAGCTGCTTTTAATACTAAATGATAACAATATCTGTATTTTTGATTCTGGACCTGTTATTATTTGGTATCTGAGTGGAAACAAATTTTATTGTGTTGTTCACCCTATGAAATAAACCACTTCTATCTTATTCCTAGACATATACATGCACTCAGTGTAAGGGCTCATTTATACTCCTTTTACAAACAAAAATAGATACTTTCATTTCAAACGTTGTAAACATCACTGCCCTAATACTTTCAAATGTTGTTTATGATGGCATAGATACAGCCAATAGATAGCAGTGTAGGGCAGAGGCAAAGGTTTTACACGACAACAAACGGATACGTTGCAACATGTTGACTTAGAATTCTTCCTACTACATTATCAATTTGTTCTGTTCCGCCATATTTAAAATGTCTTTGTCGTCTCCTATGGTTTTATCTCGCTTTATCTACACTACACTGCCACCAAAGTCTCTGGTGGTTCTGCTCTGTTTTTTCTGTATCCGTAAGCTTCCACAAAACATGCACAAATACGGACAGAGGCTTCATTCGTGACCACATATGTACCTAACTTTGAGCATAAATGAGGCTGGGACTTCCTTGCAGTCATGGCGTACTCTTCTGTTCAACACAATAATCATGAATACCTTTACACACCAAGTCCAACACAAAGTTTCAAATCTAGAAGAGGATTTTTTGCTGTACAAAAATATTTCTGACTTGTTAAATCAATTAGGGTAGCCAAACAACACCTGTAACTATTATTTTGTTATCATTATTTGATTTTTTTTTTTTTACACTTGATCAAAATGGATATCTGATATTTATCAGAACATACACACTAATCATCCCAGAGTTCACAGTGAATGACGTATGCTTATAAATCTCTGCCAAGCACTCGGTCAGCTTCTCTCTGACTCACAGATACATTAAGACACACACATACAGTACTCACTGCCATATGTTTACAGCCTCGGAAACTGAAGGAGGAAATTCGGATGAGTGTTTTGATGAGACCAAGTGAAGGTGGGTAATTGTGTTGAAACTGAACAGACCTGTGGACAGAATTTTCCCTGTGTGCATTTCATTCATAATACATCTTGTGAGACCAAGCTTTTGTCAGCCGCTTCTGTTGCACGTGCTCATAATGTTCACAGCTCATCCATGACTCTTATCTCATGATGCGCTGAATGAATCTCAGGTTGAAAACTGCCAAGAGAAAAGGCTTGGTTGCAGTCTCTAATAGAGGCCAATTTAGTTTCTAATTATCTAACGCGAGTGTTGGAGCAGCATGCACGGGGCTTCACAGTTGGGGGACGGATAAAATGGCACCAAACTGGGCAAAACACGTGCCACATGCTGAACACACAAACCTTCACAGAGATTATCTTGGCACGCTCCCATAGCCAAACATGTTGCAGTGTGGCAGTTCAGAGAGTTTTCACTGGTAAGGTGCTTCTTCATCAGAAGAGATCACATGCTTGAGTTCATTTAACGACTCGGCCCACTATGTGAGGGGCAGTTAAATCTTTAATTTTAGATCACCCCCACTATTACACACCAATATGGTCCTCAGCATCAAAAGGAGAATTGAGGAAACTGTAAACTGCCCTGAGCAGAGCAGCTCAACTAGTCTTACACTGCCCCGGAAGAACAAACACAGTCAGCATGCATTGTAAACTCTTACGGCCACAAGTATAGAAGAGACTTGCCTTAAAAGGTTCTGTAAAATTCACCTCTATACAAGACATACTCAAAGTAAATTGAAAGCTGCACTTGCTCCATTTTTGTACATGCATTTTCTCATTTGAAAGGTAATACTGAAGTTTTTCCCCAGCTGTCAGAATCACTGTAAGTGCTTCTGTCATTGAGTTTCATAAGTTTCAACACATTGAAATAAAAGTTTTTTTTTATCTTTGCCTGAATATTTTCTTGAAAAAAAGAAAAAGAAAAAGCTGGAGATGACAAGAACTAGGAGGTATTCGCTGAAACACAAAATTGAGCCATATCATGAAGTCTCACAGTCTAGATTTAAAGCAAATAACAATATGAGAGAAAATACATTTTACGTGTTTTTGAAGGTTTTGTTCAGGTGCTTTTTAATTAAAAAAAAAAAGTGTAAAAAAAAATGTACTGAATGTGTGATTATGAGTGAAAAACTAATAAATAGAGAGAAATGTCTATTTAGGAGCTCACTATATATATAAAAAACCTTTCTAGTAAATCTAAATTGTTTTTTTTCCCCCAAGAAACAACGTAGGAGCCATTTATCTATCATATCTGTACATTTATAACACTCTATGATGGCAATAAGGGGTTAAAAACTGCTGTGGAGCTTCGGAGTGTCATTGACTACAAGACCCATAAGCCTCAGGTGAAGTGGGCCAATTGCTGGCTCTTAAAATACATTTAAACTACAAGAAATGTCAGTGACGTACGCTCCCTCAGCTCAGGCCCTTGTTGGCTATGGAGGCCATAGCAACAGCACTGGGAGCGCCTATTGGCTTAAATGAGGTGTCAATAGAAAGGCCAGAGGCTCGCCTCCAAGTCAGTTTGTTTACATGCAAGACAGAGAAATTATGGATAATATATGGAGAAATAGGACTTTGAATTTTGAGTTTCTACTATAACATGTTTACATGGTGGTCAGAAAACACTTAATTTTCTCATAGTGTGTGTTCTGAAACAAACGTATCCACTGTCTGTCTGAAACACTCCGTTTTAACACCTTTCTCAGTCTCCTCTGATTGGTCCACATCTCCGGGTCTTCCTTATCGTTCCAGCAGGAATATCATCCAAAATCAGGGAGAAATTAACATCAGCAATCAATATTACGTGTTTCCCTGACATTAGCATGTAGCTTTATTTATCATTGTAGGCTACAAAAAGTCTGGCACGCTATACTGTAGCCAGAGTAGAATATCGTTAGGAGTGTTTAAAACCATAGGGAACCTGTGATTTTGCTCACAGGAAGAACTTCTACTTCAGTTATTGTATAGCATATGATGCCATTGGGATCAGCTAATGGAGATCCTTTTGAATAAATGAATAATGCTTCAATAATATGTTCTTCATTGGCGTCTTTGCAGTCTCATCTCTTCTGATGCTTTTTAGATGCTGACAGACAGGATGCCATCAATCTGTTTCTCCAAGTCTACCAGCCATCAGAGTCCAAGCCTCACCTGTGGGAGCTGCCCACTGACTTCTACCTGCATCAGAGGAACACCATGGCCCTCCCTCAGGACAGACGGAGGTAAACACACATATAGTTGTACACTTAAAACACACGACCACTTGCTGTTACATACATGGAGAAATCGAAATAAAAACGCTTCCATCTGAATATACAAGTGCAGTTACATGTTTATGGAAAACTTAAAAACACACACGCACATGTTTTTGTGTTAATTAAATATCTCAGTGGGGAATTGCTCACAAAAGATTAGCGCTGCTGTTTCTGAGAAAGCCTTTATCTGAAAGCCCAAGCTGTAAAGGACTACCCCGAGCAGTGAAGTTGCTCACGTGGGTGTTTTTTCATGTGATTGCTTTTGTGGTCATTCCAATTGGTAGCTATCAAGCCTCCTCTTTACCTGGGGCACAGAGCTTTGGCCTCAAAGTGTAATTATGCGTGTGGCTCCCCTGAGGTTTGCTTCATGGCTTACAACCATGGCCCGATTTTTGTTGTCCACATTACTGTGGCTTCTGTATCTGAATACTGTGGAGTTAATACTGTGGCTTGAAAGCTCAACACACTGACATGTGCGGAAACACGTATAAATGTAGAAGTCATCTTAAAACAACAAAATGGAGAAATATGCAGGTAATTTAGTAACATTGTTGTTTTTTCTAGGATACAGTGAATTAAGTTCTTAGGGTCAGGTTATGATCGGCTTACAAGCCCTTTAATATGGTGGCCAAGAAGTGGGAAATGAGCTGCAACTAGACACAACACAGGCAAATGCAGAAACATCCTTACCAACCAGTGTTCATATGTCTGTTTTAGATTTAGTCCTAGTCTTGAGATGAAAATGCTTAGTTTTAGTCGCATTTTAGTCATCATAGTTTTAGTCTAGTTTTAGTCGAAGAAAATGCAAAACGTTTTAGTCATGTATCAGAAATCAGAATCAAGGTGACAGGTTGCATAAATATTTCATTTAGACAAACTTTTCTCCAACTACAAATAATCTCTGAACACTTACAAACTTCAAGGTTCGGGTTCAAGGGCTGATTTACGAGCACACACTCACTGATCGTCATTTGAAATGCTCAACATTTCTCTATTTCTGATCTCAGAAACTTTGAAACCACAAATAATTAATCTGAGGCAATTAGGATTTGTACCCAGGTTCATTGTAAACTCTGACCTATCTATCTCACTGTTAAAGGGCCAGTGTGTAATATTTGGCATGGTTTATTGTCAATCTGAATCTGAATCTGAATATTCTACCCATTAATATGTTTATACAAGTGTATGATCGCTATAAAATAAAATTCGTTTGGTTTTCGTAGCCTTATAATTATAATTATGCTTTTATATATATATATAGCAAGGGCCTTGCTTTAGAGAGGTCGCCATCTTGCGCCGCCATGTATGTACAGCAGACCGAGTGGACAATCCAGCCAGCCAGAGAACGCGTTTCGCGTGTATAAATGAACCAACGAAGACAGCGGAAGGAAGGAAGGAGGAGGAGGAAACAGCAGAGAGTGTTAGTAGTTCGTCGATAGAGAGTAGTGAAAAGTTTTTTTTAGTTATAAAGTTTGCGAATGGACCACACTTACCACGCAACAGGAGAGAATGAACCCGAACCGTCATCTGTGAGGAAAAGAAGACGCAACTTCATTCCTTGTGATGCACTCTCTGCGGCGCTTTTCCTCCTGGTGATATATCTCCCCAACGATGGTAGCAGTAGCACTGAATCCCATTCTGTGCATTCAGCCTCTCTTCTCACCCGCTCAGCATCAAACACATGGAGTTCCTCATCTGTGTGCTCCGGCTCAAACAGGTATGGCTCTGGGTCTGTGTCCGCTACAAGAAACTCTTCAAAATCGCGTTCAAAGTCATCCATTGCAGCGACTATTGTCCGGAGATATTGCTAGGCTAAATAAACAGCTGAGCTCTGTTTACAGGCTACCCTGTCAGTCAGTGTGCGGGCTGGAGATTGGCGGAGCAGAGAGGGGAGGGGGTCCCCACTCAGTATGGCAAACGAGTATGTGTGTAAAGTTATGAAGTGTGTCTGTTACGCTAGAAGAGTCAGAGTTTGGGACGGAGTGGAGTGTTACCGGAGTTTCTGGAGTGCTCAAATAAACGGGCCTTTTTCCCGAACTCTACTCTGGTCTCCTGCTTGTGAGGGATTCATTACAATATCGTAACATGGTTTAGATTTCTAAATAAACATTCACCTTGTCGCTAGATAGACCTACTCCTGAAAAAGTCTTGCACAAGGCTTTTTGTCCCTACGAGGCCACCGTCATTTACCCGACGGGAGGGGTGAGCGAGTGAGCCCTGCAATCTAGAATTTGACCACTGATGTCACTGTTTTCAACCCATTTTACACACTGGGCCTTTAAGAAGCAGAACTTCTTAAACTCATATCTCACAGAGGTGGTGTTTAAACTAAACTTTCATCTCCGTCAGAGAAAACTGATCTACACTGACAAATAACCGAGCCTCCTACCTGCCTGTCAAACAGCATCAACCCATAAATCTTCCTAAAACAGTGCAGATTAAACAGAGTCCCATGAGAATCAGCTGTGAAGTCCAGCGGCCAGTGGCTACTTGCTCCGCTGCCATTCAGCAGCCAACAGCCACCGCTGCAACTAACAAACTCTTTAAATCCATTCAAAAGCTCCACCATCCATAGCCAGACACACACACAGCTGATTATTTACTGCTGAATTACAGCTCATAACTTACACCAATGGCTAAGGCTGCTCCGGTGTGAGTGATAATTGGCATTCAATGTCTGATAGTCTACCTTGAACATTTTCGTCACGTCTGGTCAATGAAAATGAAGCATAGATACCGTCTTAGTTTTTCATCATCATTTCGATCGCGTCACGGACAAAAGGTCGTTGACGAAGTTTTCGGCATAGTTTTCGTCAACAACATTAACACTGTTACCAACTTGACGTCATACAAAAACATCCAGGTGATGCCACATGCACAGCATTTAGAAAAAGCGCTGCAAGAAGCCCAGAACACAGTGTGCTGTCAAGTTGATATTTTCATGTTGTCAAGTGTTTTCGTGTGTCGACCACCAAACTTTTAGACGATGTAATGACTATGAGATACCTGAAATCTCTCGCACCTGAGTGCTGTCCAAAATCAGCACTTCTAACAGCCTTGTTACATTTACTGACTCCTGGTTCCTCTTTTCTCCAATATATGTATGTACTTATTTAAAAGTAGCATTCATGTAGGATGCACACATACAGTACAGGATTTCTGTGTTTATCTCATGCTGTATATATGATTTTATAGACTGTTTATGTAGCTGTTTTCTTTTCAAGCTGATGTGTTTGTGCCCTGTGAGATGCATATTATTGGTTTGTCGCTTGCTCCGTCCTTACTCATCTGTGCTTACTTTGTGTATTTCATGACAAGTTTTGACCCCCAGTAGTTCTGTCCTTGTCATTTGTGCACATGTGTGTAGGAGCATACTGCAGTACAAGCTCTCCATTGTCTTCATGCTTACATAAAACTAGACCCAGTTTTCTGCTACAGGGCACTAGTTTATGTAGACACAATAGGCCAAGGTAGCTGAGCCATTATTCCAAGAAATTAGCGTGGCTGGAACTGAAATCAATTCAGTAGCCACACACTGTGCTTTTTCTCTCAGACTCACCTAAGTAGCACATCACACACTAAATCATTGTCAGAGCTCTCACTCAAATTGGTAGTATAGAATAAAAGACTGATGTATTCAGGAGTTGTACAGTAGGTGGTCCAGGCAAGCCAATTTTCATATCTAGGTTATGTGATGTCCCAGAAGAGACTGTGCAGACTGCAGATCACACACCAGTCAGTGGAAAGTTTAAACAAATTTGTGTATTTTGTCTTTTTGCAGCTACACACTGTGGTGGTCAGCAGGAATCTTGTCCTACCTCCCAGTGCCCTATGATGAAGGTACGTCTTCACTATATGATATCAGCAATAATGTCTGCAACATCTATAATATGTAACCACAGAAGTCTTTTTTATTTATTTATTTTATATTTAACCCATATTTAACCAGGTAGGTCCCATACAGCCAAACAACCACAGGTTTCTTTCCCAGCTCAGTCTGTGCACTAGAATCAGACCACAAAACTATGCGTTAAGATCTCAGACTATAGCTACAGTCAGATCTCTGCTCAATCAAAGTACAAATGTACGAAGTGAGTTTGCCCAGTATGGCCTTTATAAATGAACAAATACCAGTGACCAAGTCTACGAAAGGTCAAAGATAGCCAACCAGCAGGCTGGTTAAGTTCATCCAACTTTCTGAGTTGGAAATTGGACTGCAGGAGGCAGTCCATTTGAAATTTCCAACTGGGAAAACACCACATGTATGTTATGTCTAAAAACAGGTATCTGCACATGTCAAGTCATGGCAAGTAAATTGTCTGTGTGGAGAGGCGGAACACATTTGCCAAAATGCAGTTTCAAAACCCACTGACTGTCGTCTGAAGCTGATTTAGCTTTCTGTCAGCCTTATCTGCCTATATCTCGCACATTTTCTCTTTCTCTTTGATTTAGTCCAATGCAACTGCTGTCATCAATGCACAAGAACCGCCAGTTCTAAAAACAAACAAACAAACAAACGGGGAAATAATAATATATTACAGCCTGGGCCGGGTTGGGCCTAGTGGGCTCAGGCAGAAAATCAAAGCTCTATGGCAAATAGAAGAGGAAGTTTTGGTGCAGTTATTCACTGGCTACAGCAGATCTGTAGCCGGAAATATTGGCCTTTGCCCCCAGAGGCTTTTTCATTGTCAGATGATAGTCTATGGGTTCTTGGTTATGTAACGGAAGCAGCTACAGGTCAATGCCTTGATCCATTTAAAGTTGTTTATTACCTCCGCCAAGGAGGTTATGTTTTCGCCTGCGTTGGTCTGTTTGTCTGCAAAATAACTCAAAAAGTTCTGAACGGATTTTGATGAAATGGGACAAGGAATAGATGATAAAATTTTGGTGGTGATCGGTTGAAGCGAAGTGGATAAAATAATAAAATGGTGGGAAATCCGAGCTGCTTGGCGGAGGTCTGCGCTCTCCGAGTGCTTTTCTAGTTGCTTTTCAAGCTTCAAGATGAAGGTGAATCAGTGGCCATCGGAAGTATTCTAGGTTTGTGTGAATTCATCATTGCCAGGATTTTTTAGGAAAATTGTACTAACACAGCTAGACACTGTAGTTTTTCATAAAGGGAGGAAGAAATGTATTTGCTGGGCGCTGTTTCTGTCTGCAGATTTGGTATACAGGGCATTTTTATAGTAGAAGAACAGTGTGTGACAGATCATTATAATGAAAAAAAATGTCACTCGGTACAACATTGTGGGTCATTGGACTTCTATTTAACAGTTTTTGTACAATAATGCAGCACAGAGAAATAAGATATATCAAGCTTCAGCTACACAGGTGATACTTATTATTTGGTTACATTCATTGTTAGTTTTGTTTTTTTATGGTACATGTTTTAAACTTTGTTTTTTTTTTCTATGTGTTTGCTTGTGCGTTCTGGTGTGGCTGCAGTCTCATGTGAGGAGACCATGAAGAAGGTCAAAGTGAAGAGAGTCAACCGTTTTGAGGAGAGCATTGACATTTACACAGAATTCTTCAAACCTTATGAACTTACCTCCTTTGATGACACATTCTGCATCGCCATGACCAACTCTGCAAGGTGAGTACACACACATGCAAAACCCTTTCGATTTTTTTTTTTTTACATAAACCCCCCAAAATGGACTGTAATCTACAGGCAGAGATGTTTTTCATCTTACTGCAGCGTTGAAGTTATTGCTTAAAAATTGGTGAGGTGTGAATCGACATTGCAGATTTGGTTGACAGTAAACAACTCTGATAATAGTGTACCAAACATTCATTAGCTCTAATTATGATGATATTACAGGATGTCAGCTAATGAGTTTCCCTGCTATATGTGTTCATAAAGGGAATTTATGCCCAAGACTGTCGGAGTGGATCCAAGCCCGTTCACAGTCCGCAAGCCAGAGGAAACAGGGAAATCAGTGCTGGGGTGAGTGTATCTCAGGCAACGTACGTGTCCACCTTTGTGATGTTTTGGTTGGTGTTTTCTTTATTCAGTTTTTAATGTAATAAATCCCATGTCACTGTGCCCTCACACACGTGGCTTCATTTGACACTGTGTTCTCAGGTTACCAAAAACAAGGCTTTGTCCTTTTTCCCATCTTTGTTTAGAACACACAGTGTTTAATTTACCTGTCATGAACTCCATGTGTGTGTGTTGGCATATATTTTTAAAATAATCACTCCTGCACACACATACTGTGAGAGAATAACTCCTTGATTAAAAACCTCATGTGCTGATGAGTCATAATTGTCTCCCCATTACAGCAGCACAGCATGACAACAACTGCACTACACCTGGCCGATCTGATGTTCTGTACTGCTTTAATGTTTTTCTTTAATGTTTATTCTTTAGTCTTTATTTGGATCCCCATTAGCCTCTACAGAATGGTGGCTTGTTTTCTTGGGGTCATCACCAAGATGATAACAAAAAAACCAAACAAAAATTTAAAATCACATGGTATCGATAAAACAAGAAAAGGCAAAACAAGCCAAATATAAAGATAAGAAAATAAGTAGAATGACTGAAATTATATAAAAATATGGACAATAGGAGCTTACAATGAAGACAAAAACAAGAGTGTCACAAATAAATAGCAATAAAAACAACACTAATGTTGGTGAAGCAACAAAAAAAGTGAAGTCATCCGCATTCATAACTACATTGGTGTTTTTAACACTTATGAAAATGTGAAATTAAAAGTGGACCAAAGCAAGTACCTTGTGGAACGGCGCCATATTTTTATGCTGACAGAAAAGCCCCAACTAGTTTCCTGTCATCCATATTTTTTAACCATTGATCACTCAGCTGTACTAATGCTGTGCTACTTGAATGTTCATCACTGGAATTCACCAGCTGAGCATAAGTTCAAACATAGCCGAGTTTGAACGTAATTTTTAACTTCAGTCGGAGTTTATGTGTTACTAAATGTTTAAGGGTTGCATCAGCTGAATTAGTTCCATCATATGCGTAAATTTAAAAATTCAATCTTATGCCTAGCCCTTAGTAGGTGTAGAGTCTACCATGAAATAGCAAATGATATGACAGCTCCCTCACAGTGAAGCCTAAACATCTTGATAGTAGATGGGACATGGGCCAAATGAAAACAATAAAGTACATGTCAAAAAACTTTTCCCAAAAAAAAGGTTTCTGTCATTTTAGGTTGTACTTACCACACTGATGTATGTTCAAGTGTTTAAGTCTATAATAAGTGTGGTTTTAATTACATATTTGATGCAATGAAAAGAGGGTTTGACATCATGATTGACAGCTATGTGTGGCAATCATGCCCGAGATCAGTGGCGCTGCTTGCGATAGGTTGGACAGGTGTATGGGCGGGAAATTGATACCACAGACATGGCTACTGCACAGACTCTGGCTCCAAATGCCATCACCAGCGCAAGATGGTTTATTTTGCCTTCATTTTGGTACAGTTGGAGTGAGTGGAGACATGTTGTCCATCATTATATACAGTCTATGGGCATGAGTGCAACCAAACACTAACTTAATAGTTTCAACGCAGGGTTAGAGAACTTATGTATAGCTGCTGCAACATGCTGCTGGTCTAGCATGCTGTGATTTTATCAATAGACCATTTTTATCAAAATAATTTAACATTTTATCAAGTATCTTATTTGGCACAGGGAGTATAATAACAGGTTGTCAACTGTAGATCATTCATAAATGAGTCAGCATTAAATCTTTTATATGATCTGTGGTAGACTGTCCTAACTCCAGACTTTGGCATTTTAGTCTTTATTGTTCAAGCTGCCAAATAATGGTCTCTCCATCCCACTGACACCGCCTGTAAACACAGCTCATGTATGTCAGTGAAAATAGGATCACTACAGGTTGAAGTATAAACACCCTCCATGGTTGTGGAAGTTTTTGGAGGTTGAGTCACAGTGTGAGTAAGATTGCAAACATCCGCCATAGAAATCAGCTTCTTATGTAATGAACAGTTCTTAGAAAACCAGTCAGTATTCAGCTCATGAAGATGGAATGTGTCCTCACTTTCATCTGTCAGTACACCTAGAGTTTCACATACTCTATCCAGATACTTTACATTGGAACTGGGTGGCCTGTAACAACGACCTAGAATAAACTAAATAAGAGTATGAAAGGGGAATGAAGTTCACCGTCATTGTTTATAATATCTTTCTGTAGTACAACCACAATCTGTATCGCTATCTGTAAGTTTACAGTATATTAGGCCAGGCCAAATAAGCAACTATCACCATCAGATTAAAAAGGAAGACTAATTCCAGCTTTCATAACAACTCTCTTATGTCACTGAAGTGGGCATTGCCCAGAGCTGCCCAGTAACAACAAAACTGCAGGGAAAACGAGGCACATTCTGGCTGTACTCGCAGAAGCAAAGACGTGAGAGAAGGTGGAGTTTGGACTGGTTCTGAATATTTTTGAGTAATCTTAAAAACACTCACTCACAACATTCAGTGACTCAGCCAGGCTTTTCTTGGCAGAGGTGGGAAACGCCGAGCTCCAGAAGGATTATAGCTGAATAATGAAAGAGGCACTTTGGACAACCTCAGTAGAGGGATGGTGGGCCCGAGCCAGGGATACTCAACTTGCTTTGTCCCAGAGCCACTTTTGCTAAATGACAGGAGGCCAGGGGCCAATAGACAAATATTAATAAACAAACGTTTAAGGTATACCTTGAAGGTTTGTCAGTTACTGTCTGCAAACACGCTCGCCAGTGAAAGTGAAAGTAAAAGACAAACCCAGGCTGACTATTGTTTGGCATTTTGCCTTACTATATTTTGTTTTTCTGCGCTGTCTCTTGGATGCCTGTTGCTGACAGTCTGGCACCTGGTCATTATATTTTGTTAAGCCCTGACCTCACCTGAGTCCTGTGGGGGTACATGCACATCAACATCCCAAAAACAAATAAAAAAATACGAAAATACAGACAGAGGGCAGAGTCTGCAGGAAAATACACCACCACACACTTCTAGTGGGTCGTAAGTGATGATTGGGGGGAATTACTTCTGTATGAGTCTATACATGTTTTAATGGTATATCATTAATAATAGTTATCAGACAAGTTGAATAAACGAAGCAAATAAAGTTGCAGCAGCCTTGTGCAGATCAGATGTACCCAGAGGTGGTTCTAGGATTTGAGGACTTTCAGGACTCAGCCCAGACCTCTGCAGGGGGTCTGGGGGATCCTCCCTTGACACTTTTCTTCATGTTATTTATAAAGAAGGTCTATTTTGATCATTTTTAAAAATGCATTATTGCACCTTATGTACATTCAGAGTTCAAAACAAGAAATAATATACCAGTGTGAACTAAGTCTGAGTTCACCCAAGGTTCTTGAAGTGCTTGAATTTTGAGAGGAAGATTCAAAATAACCCACTTTTTAACAAAGTACTTGAAAAGTCCTTGAAATTCAAGTGAACCACAGAGCGCTGTCCTATATTTTCACCAAAGAATTAAATTGCTCAACCCTTTCGGGGCGGCAGTAGTTCAGTCCATAGGGACGTGGGTTGGGAACCGGAGGGTCGCCTGTTCGAGTCCCCGTCCGGACCAAAATAGGTCACCTGTTCAAGTCCCCGTCCAGACCAAATATGGAGCGTGGACTGGTGGCTGGAGAGGTGCCAGTTCACCTCCTGGGCACTGCCAAGGTGCCCTTGAGCAAGGCACCGAACCCCCCAACTGCTTGGGGTGCCTCACCAAGGGCAGCCCCCTCACTCTGACATCTCTCCACTTTGTGCATGTATAGGTCCTGTTTGTGCATGTGTGTGTATTTAGGAGCTGTGTGTAATTGACAAGCAAGAGTGAAAACATTGAATTTCCCCTCAGGGGGATTAATAAAGTAAATAAACTTAAAACTTAAACTTAACTTAAACTTCTTTTTATAAATTCATCGTCTTATTTCACCATGGTGCGCTTTCCCTCCCTGCCCAACGTAGTATTGTTTTTTGTTGTTTTTTTTACTTCGCTCCACTGTTAAAACCCCACAAATACACAAGGCCATTTTTGGCATGGCTAAATTTAACACGACTTCACATAACGAGCCAGCTTTTCACAGTGATTTGTTTTCCTCTCTCTCCAGCAGTGTGCCATTGTAATAGCTTTCCTTGGTCTGCTTTCAGATGGTTTTATCACATACAAATGTTTTAAATTTTAATACAGTTATGCCTAAAAAGAGTGTGATGATTAAGCCATAGCTGAAAATAGAGACGCTGATTACACCATTTATTTGTTTTAATGAAAATTTCCTTTTTTAAATACATTGGCTTATTTGCTTTGAGTGACATCCTTGAAAATAAAAAAGTAGTGCTTGAAAAGTCCTCGAATTTCATTTTGTAATGTCTGTGTGTGAACTAGAATTGTCGTGTCATGTTCTCGCCCTGTTATATTTATCCTTTAGTAAAAATGTTAAATTGTATGCCCTCAATGGCAAATCTTCCAGTGGTATTGAAATGTATTGAATATCAGTGTTGCCAAGTATCTGGGTTTTTTTATTACATAAGTTCTTAATATGACAAATACAAGTTAAACTATAGGTAGCCTACTAGAATAATATAATCAGTTGCTTTTTCAGATCACTAAATACATGTTGGTGCTGCTGCAAAAAAGGCTGAGGTGATATGAACAAACTGAAAATGTTATCTTATTAGATAAACAGATGTTGACAAAGTTTTCCTTTGGGGACATGGTTTACAGTTGAAAAAAGGTTTAAAGTATCGTGACTTAAAGTATCGTGATAATATCGTAACGTGGATCCCCTGGTGATTCCCATTCCTAGTATTGTATCAAAGTTATAATAAAGTAAAGATCAGGACAGCACTCCAATTTGACTTTTTAATATTGCCACACATTGTTTAAAAGTTTAGTTTGAACCCTGTCAATTTATTTTTCATTGCGAATTAGAAAATGGTCGCTGGGCCACCTGGCACCCTATTGCAGGCCAGGTTTGGCTTGCGGGCCACAAGTTGAGCATCACTGATCTCAGCTCTGTCTTTTTCTTGGTTATCAAAAAGTGTTTAAGGAATTAGTCAGTTTGCTGTGAAAGTACACGGTGCCATAAGGGGCGACTAATTGGCTCAGAGGTAGAGCGGGTCATCCACCAATCGAAAGATCAGCGGTTTGATCCCTGGCTCCTCCAGTCTGCATGTCGAAGTATCCTTGAGCAAGATACCGAACCCCAAATTGCTCCCAATGGCTGTTCCATCACACATCCATGTGTGAGTGTGTTAAGACTGTAGCAGGTGGCACCTTGTATGGTAGCCTCGACCACCAGTGTATGAATGTGTGTGTGAATGGGTGAATGTGACTCGTAGTGTAAAAAGCGTTTTGAGTGGTTGGATGACTAGAAAGGCGCTATACAAATGCAGGTCCATTTACCACTGCTGCTGTGGGGTGTAATTTAGCCTCTTAAAGCTCTCAGAGTCCTGCTGCTGACTACATTTTAAATGATACACGGTCTCATTACATTGAGATAATAATATTTTTCAAAATTATATAGACAGCTAATTTCTTGACAGCTCAGTGTGCATGTGTGTGTTGGTGCATATGTTCATCTTTTTGGATGTTTGTGGATATTTGCAGCAACAAGACCAGTAAGGAGGAGACACTGCTCCAGAGGAAGACTGCAGCTAGCGCACCTCCTCCCCCGAGCGAGGAGGCCATCAGCAGCACATCAGAGGACGACTCCGAGGAGGACCGCGATGACGACGGGTCTGTGTCCCAGCGCTCCACACCGATCAAACTGCTAATCGAGTCTGGCGAGAGCACTCGCACACAGGAGGTATGAAAACACAAAGCATCTAACAACCAATGTCTGGAGATAGATTAACGTTCACGAGGAAACACATTTACACTGCAGCAGTGTTATACTGTAAGATCAGAATCAAAACACTCAACGAAGAAAATGAACACATGTGAGACTAACTTAATTTATATCCTTATTGTTTAATATGGAGGAAACAAAGCAGCCTATCAAATGAGGTCCTCTAATGATTCGAGGATATGAAATCTCCGCTAAGGACCTTAGGGAAATGTCATCGCAGTTCAGGCTATGTTGAAGCCACCTGCTGTATTTTCGGGCACAGAAGCTTTTTGCATTCCAATTTGAGTTTGTCACCCTAATTGTATTTTCTCCTCTTCACTCCCCCGAGTCTCCAAAAGAAATTAGTTCTGTGTTTCTGTTTGCGTCAGACGGAAGAGAAGACATCAACTTAATCAGCCTCAGTGACGGGGGTTTCCAGAACCATGGGTTTGTGTTAATGTTGGTTTAGGGAGGATAAAAGAGAGCTTTGGTGTTTATATTGTTATTCTTCTCTTTTTTTCTCCATGTCTTCGCATAACAAACTCAGTTCTCTACATGTACAGTACTGCACACATGCCATGAGGAAAGCAACGCTGTATGTATCCCTGTATGACTTAACTTCTTGATGCACGCAAGTATGTCTTGATTAAATGCCCCATTTGGAAAGCTGGCCAGAAATGAATATTTGAGTAAGACCTACACTCACCTGCCTGAATTCTTGGTGGCATAGATTCAACAAGGTGCTGGAAACATTCCTCAGAGATTTTGGTCCATATTGACATGATAGCATCACAAAGTCGCTGCAGATCTGTCGGCTGCACATCCATGATGAGAATCTCCCATTCCACCACCAAAGGTGCTCTATTGGATTGAGATCTGGTGACTGTGGAGGCCATTGGAGTGCAGTGAACTCATTGTCATGTTCAAGAAACCAGTTTGAGCTTTGTGACATGGTGCGTTATCCTGCTGGAAGTAGCCATCAGAAGATGGGTACACTGTGGTCATAAAGGGATGGACACGGTCAGCAACAATACTCAGGTAGGCTGTGGTGTTTAAACCATGCTCAGTTGGTACTAAGGGGCCCAAAGTGTGCCAAGAAAATATCCCCCACACCATTACACCACCACCACCAGCCTGAACCGTTGATACAAGGCAGGATGGATCCATGACACCAAATTCTGACCCTACCATCTGAATGTTGCAGCAGAAATCCAGACTCATCAGACCAGGCAACGTTTTTCCAATCTTCTATTGCCCAGTTTTGGTGAGCCTGTGTGAACTGTAGCCTCAGTTTCCTGTTGTTAGCTGACAGGAGTGGCACCTGGTGTGGTCTTCTGCTGCTGTAGCCCATCTGCTTCAAGGTTGGACGTGTTGTTGGTTCAGAGATGGTCTTCTGCAGACCTTGGTTGTAACCAGTGATCATTTGAGTTACTGTTGTCTTTTTATCATCTTGAACCAGTCTGGCCATTCTCCTCTGACCTCTGGCATCAACAAGGCATTTTCACCCAGAGAACTGCTGCTCACTGGATATTTCCTCTTTGTCGGACCATCCTCTGTAAACCCTAGAGATGGTTGTGTGTGAAAATCCCAGTAGATCAGCAGTTTCTGAAATACTCAGATCAGCCCTGCCATGTTCAAAGTCACTTACATATCCTTTCTTCGCCATTCTGATGCTCAGTTTGAGCTTCAGCAGGTCATCTTGACCATGTCTACATGCCTAAATGCATTGAGTTGCTGCCATGTGATTGGCTGATTAGCTATTTGCAATAAACACTCAGTAGAACAGGTGTACCTCATAAAGTGGCCGGTGAGTGTACCTCAAACATGAAATGAGACACTAGCTTTTATTTAATGACATTTCAGGTATAATCTATATTTAAAAAGGGGTCAAATTGATCATCCATCTTGCACTTTTTGGTCTCAGTTACCTTCAGCAATAGGGCTCAGCTAGTTTCTGATTATTTCCTTGCTAAAGATGATCTTTTAATCAAAAAAGCCATTCATAAGGTAGTTCAGAAGCCATATGTGGTTTGAATTATGTATTGCTTTGTAGCATTGACCTCCATAAGGTCCTTTTGTCTTGGCTTGTGTAATTCTGACACACTGTCTGTACAGGAAGCATTCGTTCTGAAACTAACCTGCCATGTCTGCAGCTTCTCATGCAGCACACTCTTTATTCTGTCCAGCATGATCAGGATTTTGCTTGGGTTTTATAGAACAAGTCTCCTTTCTCAGTCTCGTGTTCGCTTGTGTTAGTTTAGTGGGAACTGTAGCAGAATGGTCTGTTCTTCTCTGGCTTCCTCCTCTAAGGCCCATGTATCATTAAAAAGTGTATGTAGGACATGTGCCGTGGGATTTTGTCTGCTTTTAGGACATCAGGTGAGATGTGGTCACCTGCAGGTGTCTTGTCTGCCTTCATTTTTTTGTGTCACATTTAATCTCCTCTTTGGGTTGCTTATTGATGTGAAGGTCTAAGTCTGCTTTGACAATATCCGTACTTGTCTCTGGACAGATCTGAAAAGAGCAAACGTATCCTTGTTTTTTGTTAATAATATGTAAGAGATCTGATTTTTTGGGAGTCATTTGTGATTTTGTTCAGTTTTAGTTTTGATTTTTTTGTATTTTTCTACAATTTAAATTCAAATTTTCTCATCTTAGACTCCAAAACATTAAGATTAGCTCTGACAAAACATTTTGTAGATTAGTACTACTGTCTGTTTTGCCTTTACTTTTTGTTTTTTTGGCCACTTAGGGGCAGCTGAACAAGTTGATATCACAAGATCTAACTTATTATCATCGTATTAAGTGCAAACAGTTTCCTATTTACACATCAAGCAGACCAGCAACAACTCTGTTTTCATCTCCACCAACCTCAGAGGGAAAAATATGGCTTTTTAGCAGTGAAATGTTCCACTACATCCACCAACTAACCGCAAACAGCAGCCTGCTGTGATTAGAAACAAGGGTGATGAAAGCAGTTAGAGTTGATTCGGCCAGAAAACCAAAACAGTGAGCTGAGAGAGGCTAAAAAACTCTGTAGAGCCGAGGAGAACTGCAAAGTTTGGTAATAATTCTCTGCCTTGTCACTGAAAGTGACAGTTTTCACATTTCACATTGCTGCTTGATCAATTTAACCAATAATTAACAAAAAAAAATATACATTAGTGCAGCTTTAAAGTTTTCTTGCCTCAGTCTGTATCTATAGATATCCCTGTGGACGTCATTGTGTACCCACTAACAGATGAGATAAATATATTTCTGCTTTCTTTACTAAGCCTCACACTATATAGTTCACCACATGCCTTTATGTGTATACATAGAGTACAGTATAGCTGTGACAAATTTCCAGAATGCGTCATCACTATATCAGTATCTATTTCACGCCCCAGGTGGAATGGTCGCACCCTCATATCCCTGTTCACCCAGATACCAGCAGTGAGAACACCAATCAGCTCAAGTAGTAGGTCAGTGTGTCAAGGAGAGGAAACATATTTCTTTAGTATATTAGAAATATCATGCCTCATAAAGAATCGCTAGTGAGGTGTAAATTGTTGATTGCTGCAGTGGGGTAAGATGGTTAATGACAGTCCCTGGTACATGCCATTATAAGGGGCCTTGGTGCACACTAGTCATTGGTTATAAGGCACACACTCATGCACCATTAGGCGTGTATACACATGTCCATGGGTTGGCAGCTGTTTATTAAAAAAAAAGGAATCTAGTCCTTCTCTCCTGCTGTTATTTTCTCTGTCGTCTTTCCTTATCGCCACTTTCAGTCTAAAAAAGCATGACTGCCCGCTCACCTTGTCAGTCTTGATCATTTTTGCACTTAAACTATCAAACAACTGTATCATCACATGATAGACTTGACGTTTGACAACAGCAACGTAAATAATATTCATCAATCACCACTGCATATCTGTATATGACAGAAATACCAAAGTAAATAAGACAATATTTATTTAATTAGGTTTTTATGCCTTATTAATAGTTTATGTAGAGTAAGCTTATCATTTTGTTATAGATTGCTACTAACTATTTTTCCCACCAAAAATGAAAACCATAATAGAGAGGGGTTTGCTTTTTTTGGTCGCAAGACTATCACAGACAACCGCTCACGCTCACACTCACACTCACACCTACAGGCAATTTAGAGGAACCAATAAACTTGAAGTGCATGTCTTTGGACTGCGGGAGGACGCCGGAGAAAACCCAAAGTGACATGGGGATGAACAGTCAAACTGCACACAGAAGGGCCCCAGCTGGCAGATTCAAACCTGGAACCTTCTTGCTGTAAGGCCACAGGGCCACCCTATGTCAGTATTTTCTTATTTTCCTCTTATCTTGGTTTGTTCAGGACGTTTCTGGGTGTCAGCCTTTAGTTAGCTGTGTGTACCCCCCAGACAGTAGCTATGTTGTACACCTCTGGGCATCCAGACACCAGCATTATCAACTCCATCTTGTTGTCTGCTTCTGTGATGCCAGCCTCCTTCTATTAGATTGGCCAAAGCCAGGCGGCAACGCTAGAAGTTCAACAGAATTGAGTGTGTGAGACAGAGCAAAATGTGTTTGGGCAGCAACCGCTTCATACCCCTGCCGCCATGTTCGAAACCGCTTCCCCACTGCCGTCCTAACTCCATTGAAATGACAGCAGGCGTTGAGTTGCTGCACGGTGGTTTAAAAAGCAGCTTAAGGTGCTGGAGTCCATAACAAATCAGCAAAATAGAGATTGTTTATCCAAAAAAGTGCCAGGAATGGATGCTCTGTAACCCCAGACAGAGGTTCGCGCTAAGTCCCAGATGTCCTCAAATCCTAGAAGCGCCCCTGCATACGTGTGCAGGACTTCTGACTGGCCAATGACCTCTTGTCATTTTGCAAAAGTGGCCCCCAGGCAGAGCAAGTTGAGTATCCCTGACCTACAGTATGTGCAACTTCCTGAAATGAGCTTGCAAAGGTTAGAGGAGGAGTTTTGTAAAGTG